GTGTGTGTGTGTGTGTGTGTGTGTACTCACCTAATTGTGCTTGCGGGGGTGAGCTCTGGCTCTTTGGTCCCGCCTCTCACCGTCAATCAACTGGTGTACAGATTCCTGAGCCTATTGGGCTCTATCATATCTACATTTGAAACTGTGTGTGTGTGCTAACTACTCTGACACTGAAAAAGTGTGTGTGTGTGCTCAAAACCTGGCCCCAACTGGAGTACTGTTATTGTTTATAGTTGGTGATAGCCAGCTGGACCGCGTGTCAAGGTGATTTGTTTTAATGAATGATACTAAAAGGGTGTCAGAGGTGTCCACTCAACAGTGAAAAGGAATATCAGAGAGTTGTTGTTGATTTAAGAGCGACGACGATCGTGGGATCGGATGCGCCCCGGTGTACCCGGTAAGGGTTAATCGCGAAGTCCGGAAAGGTGAAACGCCAAGCCTAATCGCGAAACAAGTGACGCCAATCACTGGAAACTAACATGCCATGCGGCAAAGAAACGCAGACAGGCAGATGATTGGGGAGCCCCAGGAGTCCCTCAGGTGACAAGCACTGACCCCGCCCCACACAGAGAACACAGGGTAGCCAAACCAAAAACTCGGCCGCCAGCTAAAACACAAAAGTCTTCCAGTGCCCTCCGGCAGAGCAGAAGCCAGCCGCCCACCACGGCTGACGGCACACCAGGAGCCCACCAAGACCCACCAACCCCCGGCACCTCTCGGCCAAGCCGGCCCCCGAACACCGTCACACCGCCGGGAGAACCAGCCAGAACACGTCAAAAAAAATCTATCAACAATCCTGTGACTCAAGGCGATATGTGCGCCAGGCGTCGTACAACCGGACCGTTGAAGAGGGATGCCAAACGGCAACCCTTAAAGCAAAGCCAAAACGCGCAGTAGTAGCAAAGTAGCAAAGGCAAAACGCGAAAACAGAACGTGGTGAGGCGGCTCCCAGGCGGAGGTGGTGTCGAGACGTCCGCTCGTCATCAAGGTTGAACTAGGAGTCCAATATCAGAGAGGGGAAACTGCCTCAGATGTGGAGGCAGGGGGGCTAGACAAGGGGGAGGAGAGGATACCTGGCCAGATATGAAAGCAATACCCAAGACAAGGGTTTGCGAATGTGGGACGAACAGATCAGTGACTGACCTGTCACCACAATACTTCTCCTGCGCTCCTAACTACATCGGATATTGCACCGAAATATTGCCGCAACAACCCTGGACATCTTCAAGAGAAAACTAGATTCCAGTTTTCTAAAAAAGGTGTCGAACCAACCGGGCTATGGTGGGTATGTGGGTCTGCGGGCCGCTCCAAGCAACAGCCTGCTGGACCAAACTCTCACAAGTCAAGCCTGGCCTTGGGCCGGGCTTGGGGAGTAGAAGAACTCCCAGAACCCCATCAAGCAGGTATCCAGTAGGTTCACCAGTCTGGCCTTCACAGCACACCACCACCTCATAGGATTGACACCTGCTTGATACCTGCTTGATGGAGTTCTGGAAGTTCTTCTACTCCCCAGAACATAAATCTGCCGTATATAACAATATGATAACATAATGTGTGTCACCTTAACACAAGACTAAACCGTTTCAACGCAGTTGTGTTGACCTCTGCCATGAACGTTGAGGAGGGCCTGTCAGTTGAGTGGACCTCTGCCATGAACGTTGAGGAGGGCCTGTCAGTTGAGTTGACCTCTGCCATGAACGTTGAGGAGGGCCTGTCAGTTGAGTGGACCTCTGCCATGAACGTTGAGGAGGGCCTGTCAGTTGAGTTGACCTCTGCCATGAACGTTGAGGAGGGCCTGTCAGTTGAGTTGACCTCTGCCATGAACGTTGAGGAGGGCCTGTCAGTTGTGTTGACCTCTGCCATGAACGTTGAGGAGGGCCTGTCAGTTGTGTTGACCTCTGCCATGAACGTTGAGGAGGGCCTGTCAGTTGTGTTGACCTCTGCCATGAACGTTGAGGAGGGCCTGTCAGTTGAGTGGACAGCGCTCGGGATTCGTAGTCCTAAGGTTCCGGGTTCGATCCACGGTGGAGGCGGAAACAAATGGGCAGAATTTCTTTCACCCTGATGCCGCTGTTCCCCTAGCAGTAAATAGGTGCCTGGAAGTTAGACAGCTGCTACGGGCTGCTTCCTGGGGGTGTGTAACAAAAAGGAGGCCTGGTCGAGGACCGGGCCGCGGGGACGCTAAGCCCCGGAATCATCTCAAGATAACCTCAAGATAACCTTACCGTTACTGATAGCCGACACAGCATGGAAGACCTGGCCCAGGAGTCATCCAGCATCTACGTGTCCACTTGCGAAACCTGTACATCCTTCCTCAATGATGGCGGCTTAGTCTCTTATTTATTAAACAGTTTTTTGGTGGGTCTCGGGCCAAGACAACCTCGTCGCAGCTCATAAACTGATTAATATATGTAAACTAAGTCGCCATCATTGAGGAAAGATGTACAGGTTTCGTAAGTGGGCACTAGGTCGGGGAGCCGGTCGGCCGAGCGGACAGCACGCTGGACTTGTGATCCAGTGGTCCCGGGTTCGATCCCAGGCGCCGGCGAGAAACAATGGGCAGAGTTTCTTTCACCCTATGCGCCTGTTACCTAGCAGTAAAATAGGTACCTGGGTGTTAGTCAGCTGTCACGGGCTGCTTCCTGGGGGTGGAGGCCTGGTCGAGGACCGGGCCGCGGGGACACTAAAGCCCCGAAATCATCTTAAGATAACTAAGTTGCTTGGTGAAACCTTGGTCTAGTGGCAGGTGGAGGTGGGGTTGGGGGGAGAAAAGATCACAGGGACAAGAAAGTGATATTTAATGAAAAATTAGAGAGAAAAAAAGGTGTTTCAAAAAAATCACTTTAAATGAACACCTCTCCATAATAACATGATGATTACGGTGACGGCTCAGCTACTGTGTCACAGTCACGCCTCGAGCCACAGCTACTGTGTCACAATCACACCTCGACCCACAAGTTCAAGTTCAAGTATGTTTATTGAGATAAGAAAGAAATACATCTCAAAGGGATAGAGTAGCTTAGGGTATTTCTACCCCCTGTATGCTGGGGGCCGGGGAGGGGCTGCCCTCAACAATCAACATTCTCAAGAAGAAACATTAAGAGAGACGTATGTAAACAATGTAATGTTGATGGAAGTGACTGTATGTGAAGAAATAACTCTTGGGCAGTTATACCAGTCTGGGGAGGCAGAAGTGCTTACCAGTCAGTCACTACGGGGGAAAATGTGGTCTTAAGTCTCTTAATACCCCGCCTACTAGGTCCCCCTTGGTGTGCCTGTTGCCTTATAATATGACTATTCTGACGTTTGAATTCTATGTCGAATCCGGTCTTAAAGTTGTGGATGGAGGTGGCTTCCACACCTTCTTTCAGTACATTCCACCTGTTGACTTCCCGTGTAGGGTACAAGTATTTCCTTTTAATTTCTTTGACTCATTTGCGTTTCCAGCTTCCTCTTGTGTTCTCTTGTCTTACTTTCTCTAAAGTTAAAGAGGTTAATCTTTTCCACCTTGTCAATTTCCCCTCAGTATCTTGTATGTTGCGATCATATCGCCTCTCGTATCTTCTTTCCTATACGGTTGTGAAGTGCACGATGAATAGCTCCATTGCATCTGCACTTTTCTGAGCAATGAATTCAATCATCTTTTTTTTTTATTGTCTTTCCTTGCAGTTCTCGTCCCCTTTGTACTCATTCCCTCACCTAGCCGTAGTCTGCACGTCTGTAATGTCTCTTCTTCCTATCTTCTTCTTGAGGTTATCTTGAGATGATTTCGGGGCTTTAGTGTCCCCGCGGCCCGGTCCTCGACCAGGCCTCCACCCCCAGGAAGCAGCCCGTGACAGCCGACTAACACCCAGGTACCTATTTTACTGCTAGGTAACAGGGGCATAGGGTGAAAGAAACTCTGCCCATTGTTTCTCGCCGGCGCCTGGGATCGAACCCAGGACCACAGGATCACAAGTCCAACGTGCTGTCCGCTCGGCCGACCGGCTCCGTGTTTTTTCCTCTACGTGTTTTTTTTCTAAGTCCTTTAGGTCCGTTATGTAGCTCCAAGGGACACTACTGGAGTCTGCTATGTGGCTCAGTCAGAAGGCTGACGGTGGAGTATTATCAACGGTTGCCGGGTGGCATAGGTCAACCATGTGTAGCAGGTGGTGACGGTGGCTGGGTGGCATAGGTCAACCATGTGTAGCAGGTGGTGACGGTTGCCGGGTGGCCTAGGTCAACCATGTGTAGCAGGTGGTGACGGTTGCCGGGTGGCATAGGTCAACCATGTGTAGCAGGTGGTGACGGTTGCCGGGTGGCATAGGTCAACCATGTGTAGCAGGTGGTGACGGTTGCCGGGTGGCATAGGTCAACCATGTGTAGCAGGTGGTGACGGTTGCCGGGTGGCATAGGTCAACCATGTGTAGCAGGTGGTGACGGTTGCCGGGTGGCATAGGTCAACCATGTGTAGCAGGTGGTGACGGTTGCCGGGTGGCATAGGTCAACCATGTGTAGCAGGTGGTGACGGTTGCCGGGTGGCATAGGTCAACCATGTGTAGCAGGTGGTGACGGTTGCTGGGTGGCATAGGTCAACCATGTGTAGCAGGTGGTGACGGTTGCCGGGTGGCCTAGGTCAACCATGTGTAGCAGGTGGTGACGGTTGCTGGGTGGCATAGGTCAACCATGTGTAGCAGGTGGTGACGGTTGCCGGGTGGCATAGGTCAACCATGTGTAGCAGGTGGTGACGGTTGCCGGGTGGCATAGGTCAACCATGTGTAGCAGGTGGTGACGGTTGCCGGGTGGCATAGGTCAACCATGTGTAGCAGGTGGTGACGGTTGCCGGGTGGCCTAGGTCAACCATGTGTAGCAGGTGGTGACGGTTGCCGGGTGGCCTAGGTCAACCATGTGTAGCAGGTGGTGACGGTTGCCGGGTGGCCTAGGTCAACCATGTGTAGCAGGTGGTGACGGTTGCCGGGTATAAACCACGTGCTAAAGTTGTGTGTTGGGTTGTGTTGCAGGTGGTGGTGGCCAGTTCGGCGGGCGCGGCGCCGTCTACAGGGACGTCGTCGGTGGCGCTGCCGAAGGGATCCATCTTCTCCACCGACACCCCGCACATCATCATCGGGGCAGGTACCGTCGCTTCGCCTCGCCATCAATCTAGTTTTATCTTTCTAGCTCAGTGCTGTATCTCCCTCCCCTTCCCTCTCTCCCTCCCTGCTCGATACCGGTGTCTTACCGGCCACTGGAGCTTCTTCCACTCGCTAGAGAGGTCATTCCGTTACCTCACAGTGGTAATTTCTACTCCTTGGTCATATCACTCTTTGCCACGCTAAAACCCCAAGTAGCCCGCGCATCGTAGAGGAGAACGGGACGACGAATCCGGTTGGTCTTTAACCGGAACGTGGACCACTGTCGTTCTTGGATATGAGGTTATGCTGGATATATATTTGAGTTGTCTTACTGTAACTTTGTATTCTTCTTCCTATTTCTGTTTATTAACGTATCTTGCCTTCCAGTACAGTTATTGCTTCTTTATGCGTGTTATACCACAAGTTATAGTAAATTTAAATTTTGCCCCGAGGGGCGAGTTTATTGGGCAGCGCCACTCATCTATTGAGTGGACACACCGCCATAGTAGCATGTACAACACTCCCCCAATAGGAAGAAAACCCAAGTTATAATGTGTTATACCAGATGATATGGCAGGTGTTATATCAGATATTATACCACGTGCTCACACCACTTGCCAGAGATAATCCCTTCCCCGTCTTGTGCCTCTTTTGTGTAAAGTCTTATAGAGGATAGTTTGGTAACACTTGTACCTTGGCACGGAGCCTCCTGACCTTGTACCTGGCACGGAGCCTCCTGACCTTGTACCTGGCATGTAGCCTCCTGACCTTGTACCTGGCACGGAGCCTCCTGACCTTGTACCTGACACGTAGCCTCCTGACCTTGTACCTGGCACGGAGCCTCCTGACCTTGTACCTGGCATGTAGCCTCCTGACCTTGTACCTGGCACGGAGCCTCCTGACCTTGTACCTGACACGTAGCCTCCTGACCTTGTACCTGGCACGGAGCCTCCTGACCTTGTACCTGGCATGTAGCCTCCTGACCTTGTACCTGGCACGGAGCCTCCTGACCTTGTACCTGGCATGTAGCCTCCTGACCTTGTACCTGGCACGGAGCCTCCTGACCTTGTACCTGACACGTAGCCTCCTGACCTTGTACCTGGCACGGAGCCTCCTGACCTTGTACCTGGCATGTAGCCTCCTGACCTTGTACCTGGCACGGAGCCTCCTGACCTTGTACCTGACACGGAGCCTCCTGACCTTGTACCTGACACGGAGCCTCCTGACCTTGTACCTGACACGGAGCCTCCTGACCTTGTACCTGGCACGGAGCCTCCTGACCTTGTACCTGGCACGTAGCCTCCTGACCTTGTACCTGGCACGTAGCCTCCTGACCTTGTACCTGGCACGGAGCCTCCTGACCTTGTACCTGGCACGGAGCCTCCTGACCTTGTACCTGGCACGTAGCCTCCTGACCTTGTACCTGACACGGAGCCTCCTGACCTTGTACCCGGCACAGAGCCTCGGTACCCGTCCTCCCGCCTCACACGTTGCAATATTTTACACAATAGACCAATCCATTCAAAATCCGACGTATTAGTAAAAGTTTAAGCACCGTAATATCATCATTTACAGACGATGAGTCACAATAACGGGGCTGAAGATGCGATGACCAAACCGTACATTAGAAGGTGATGAGACGACGACGTTTCGGTCCCAGAAAATGAAAAGGAAATGTCTGAAACACGACAGGAATATTTTCAAAGTGTGCCTGTGCAAAATGAGGTTTTCTGAGAACCAGAAACACTGTATCGTCTGTATCTGTATCGGAGAACACTGTAAAGTACATAGAGGTGTCTTCAGCCGAAATGATAAAAAGTGTTCAAGGGGTTAGAGACCGAGCTGTTGGTCCAGATGGGGTTTCACCTTGGGGAGGTTCTGAGATAATGAGCACCCGAGCTGAACAATCTTCTTCAGTTGATTTCTCAGGCATCTTTATGTATAGGAATCTTAACAGGTATATGTTTCAGTCTACAAAAAATGGTAACAGAAGACTCTACATTATAGACCTCTATTATTGACAAACGTGGTGGTCAAAACACTAGAAAAAATCATTAAAAACCAAATGGGTAAAACACTTAAGAGAGAAATTATACAATAACAGAGTATATGGCTTTCGGACAGGAAGATCCTGTGTAACAAATCTACTTAGTTTTTATGATAGAGTTTTTATTATTAAAGCTTTAGCCACGGAGAATTTTCAGGAAAGAGATGGTTATGTAGACTGCATTTATGTTGACCAATAATAAGCTTTTGGTCGAGTCCCACTTAAGAAGTTCCGGAAACTGGAACATACTGGAGGAGTGACAGGAAGATTACTCACACGGATGACAAAAATTTTCTGACAGGAAAAATGAGGATGGTAATGAGAGAGAATGTACGAGACATGAGAAATGTTACAAGTGGAGTACCACAGGACTCAGTTCCAGCACCGGTAATGTTCTTTGTGTATATGAACGATCGAGTAGAAGGAATACACAATTATATGAACGTGTTTGCTGATGTTGTTAATATACTGGGAGAGATAAGAGACTTGTATAGACGATTGTCATGCCTTTAATTAAGATGACCCGAGCCGGGGAGCCGGTCGGCCGAGCGGACAGCACACTGGACTTGTGATCCTGTGGTCCCGGGTTCGATCCCGGGCGCCGGCGAAAAACAATGGGAAGAGTTTCTTTCACCCTATGCCCCTGTTACCTAGCAGTAAATAGGTACCTGGGTGTTAGTCAGCTGTCACGGGCTGCTTCTTGGGGGTGGAGGCCTGGTCGAGGACCGGGCCGCGGGGACACTAAAGCCCCGAAATCATCTCAAGATAACCTCAAGATAACCTCAAGACGTGGACAAAATAACTGTTTAAAGCAACACTTGGCAGATGGAATTCAGTGTTAATATATGACACATTATGGAATTTGTAATAGGAGAAAATGGGCCATATACAAATTATGTGACAGACAGCTTTAAAGTTCTTTGACAAAGAAAGGGATTTAGAAGTGGTTGTGGACAGCAAGCAGCCTCCTGAGGACCACATAGCGAACATTGTGCCAGGAGTCTTCACTACAATTTCCAACGTTAGAAAATACTTGTAAATACGTGGATGGTGAAATATTAAAGAAATTATTCACGACTTTGGCGAGACCAAAATTGGAATATGAAGCGGCTGCATGATGCCCACATCTCAAGCAGCACATCAACAGACTAGAAAAGGTGCAAAGACATGCTTCTAAATGGCTTTGGAGTTGAGAAACTACGAGGCGCTCTAGTGGCGAGGAGCCTCTAGAGCTACGAGGAGAGGTTATCTTGAGATCTTGAGGTTATCTTGAGATGATTTCGGGGCTTTAGTGTCCCCGCGGCCCGGTCCTCGACCAGGCCTCCACCCCCAGGAAGCAGCCCGTGACAGCTGACTAACTACCAGGTACCTATTTACTGCTAGGTAACAGGGCCATTCAGTGTGAAAGAAACTTTGCCCATTTGTTTCTGCCTCGTGCGGGAATCGAACCCGCGCCACAGAATTACGAATCCTGCGCGCTATCCACCAGGCTACGAGGCCCCTAGAGGCTAGAGGCGTTAAATACGCCAAAGCTGGAAGAGCGAAGAAAACGAGGCTGTGACCACTCACCTATAGCATAGTAACACGAATCGATAAAGTTGATATTGGAATAAATTAAGTGAGAAGACGGTGGATGCCAAAGCTATCGGTAGTTTGAAAAGCATCGTAAGTCGAAGGTTACTGCAAGACACACACACACACACACACACACACACACACACACACTAATCCGTCCGCGTGTATTTAATCATTGATGTGATTAAATGTATTTAATCACATCACAGTGTAGTTTTATAATACAGCCAGAGCCACGGAGAATTTTCAGGAAAGAGATGGTCTTTTAAATACGTGGAAATAACATCAGTGATGTATTTAATCATTGAAATAACATCAATGATGTATTTAATCATTGATGTTATTTCTTCAGTTACAGTTTTAGATTATGGCGCGATATATCTTGATATAGGTGTGAGTTATTGGTAATGTTTATTAGGGCAAGGAACTTAATTTGTCCGTGTAAATCAAGGAACTTATTTATAGTTCTTATGTTTCATATGTATTTGGGTTAAGTAAGGCAAGGAACTTTATTATTAGCAGAACAACAGAACGAAAATATACAGTTTAGAAAAAGCTAAAAGTAGCATTAATCGATATCCTCCAATCGATCAGGATATCTTGTCAACTTGAATTGATTGGTTTTTATTAGAGGATAGCCAGTGAATGTTGAGTGTTAATTAACCTGGAAAAAGGTTAATTTTAATATAACAAACATGGCTGATATCACAAACACGCGCACTGGGTGCAACTATGCCTCACAAACACGAGCCTTCGTGTCCCATGATGCCTAGAATTACTTGTTATATGGATATCTTCAGCCAGGGGAAATTTTTGAGTCAAAGACGTTTGAATTTGATACAGTTAAGGCAGGCAGGCAGACAGGCAGGCATTCTGTTCTTCCTGGCGTACGTGAATTGCTTTCTGCCAGGCGTAGGCTTCTCCCGTCAGCCCTCGTGGACAGAGAGAGGCTTCTCCTGTCAGCCCTCGTGGACAGAGAGAGGCTTCTCCTGTCAGCCCTCGTGGACAGGAAGAGGCTTCTCCTGTCAGCCCTCGTGGACAGAGAGAGGCTTCTCCTGTCAGCCCTCGTGGACAGAGAGGACGGCTTCTCCTGTCAGCCCTCGTGGACAGAGAGAACGGCTTCTCCTGTCAGCCCTCGTGGACAGGGAACGGCTTCTCCTGTCAGCCCTCGTGGACAGAGAGAACGGCTTCTCCTGTCAGCCCTCGTGGACAGGGAGAACGGCTTCTCCTGTCAGCCCTCGTGGACAGGGAACGGCTTCTCCTGTCAGCCCTCGTGGACAGAGAGGACGGCTTCTCCTGTCAGCCCTCGTGGACAGAGAGGACGGCTTCTCCTGTCAGCCCTCGTGGACAGAGAGAGGCTTCTCCTGTCAGCCCTCGTGGACAGAGAGAACGGCTTCTCTCTGCTTCACAATGTCGGTGCTGTGGGGAACATATAATATGCTCCATTTGACATTGGTCACATCCTCGCCCGTATTCCAAGCCGCCGCAGGAAATTGAAGTAATATTTAGAAGCACCCAAACTGTCTATATACAATTCTGTGAATTGATAGCTTACTAAAGTCACCGGGAGGAATTCTATTGGCACTTTTGAGGTGGTGTGATGGAAGTGGATATTGATTTTGGTAGGACCGAGCTGCTGTAGGGTGTCATCTTGGTGGTATATTGTAGCAGGAAACCTGGAAGAATCAGTTGAGGGCAGAGTGAAAGGGACACATACAAGGTGGGTGTGTGTGTGTGAGTGCGTGTGCGTGTGAGTGCGTGTGTGTGTGTGTGTGCGTGTGCGTGTGAGTGCGTGTGTGTAGAATTAGCTTCGGCGACATCCCAATCCCACTTGTTTACGACTCTTAGACTGAAAAAGTTCTTTCTGACGTCCCTGTGACTCATCAGTGTTTCCAGTTTCCAATTACGTCCTCTTGTTCTACTGTTTCTTAATTTGAACATTGCTTCTATATTTACTGTATCCATTCCACTTAATATCTTGTATGTCGTTATCATGTCTGCCCTAGACCTTATTTTCTCCAATGTAATGAGGTCCAGTTCTTTCAATCTTTCTTCATAGGTCAGTTCCCTTAGCTCAGGAGTGAGCCTTGTTGCATATTTTAGGACCTATTCTAGTTTAGTTTTGGGCTTCTTTGGGTAGGAGTTCCATGCTGGGGCAGCATACTCAATAACAAGTCTCACAAAGGATGTATGCAGCACTTGGAAAGGATCTTTGTCCAAGTTTTTTTAAGGGTAACCGGGCATTTGCCAGCATGGCATATGCTGCCCTCGTTATTGTGGTGATGTGTTCCTCTGGTGATGGGTCTCGTGTTGTGTCCACTCCTAAGTCTCTCTCTGTTTCAGGAGTTGGAAGTTGCTTTCCCTTCATCCTGTGCTCTATTAGAGCTCTTCTTGCTCCATCTCTCATCCTCATAATCTTGCTTTTGTCAGGGTTAAAGTCTAGTAGCCATTTCTCAGACCATCCCTGGAGACTGCCTAGGTCATCTTGTGATGTGCTGCAGTCCTCCTCAGTTCTGATTCACCTCATTAGCTCAGCATCGTCAGCAAACATGGATAAGAATGAGCATACTTCTTCTGCCAGATCATTTATGTATACAGTATTACAAACAGGATGGGCCTTAGTACCGACCCTTAAGGTACTCCACTTGTTATCTCTTTCCATTTTGATGGGTCTCCTCTTACTACGACTTTACCTTCTTTCTAAAAAGTACCCCTTCACCCACTTTAGTACTTTCCCTGACACACCAGCCTGTTTTTCTAGTTTGCATAGGAGTCATTTATGAGAAACAGTGTCAAAAGCTTTCAGACAATCCAGGAAATTGTAGTCTGCCCAGCCCTCTCTATCCTGTGTGATTGTTGTCATCTGGTTATACAACTCTTAATAAGTTGGTCAAACAATATTTTCCTTTGCTGAATCCATGTCGATTCTGGGAAACAAAATGTATATGTTCTCAATGATCGCCGAGCCTTCTTTTGGTTGGTCTCTCTAATATCTTAAAGTGAAGACTTGTTAGTGATACCCGTCTATAGGTCAGTGGCTCTTGTCTTCTTCCTCTCTTGTGTATAGACGCCACATTTGCCACTTTCTATATGTCGGGTTGTTCTCCCATTTTTAGTGAGGAGTTGAAGACTATAGCAAGAGGTACACACAATGCTGCAGCTGCCTCGTTTAGGATCCATGGCGAAATCTTATCACGGCCTGTGTCTTTCATCCCATCCAGCTCCTCTAATTGTTTCTTTACTTCCTCTGTTGTTACTGTTTCAATCAATCTTTCTTGTAGCATTAAAAGTTTTATGTCTGAGGTCAGTTCTGTTTCAATCTTAAAAGCTTCCTGGAAACTTTCATTAGGTTCTTCATACAGTTTATCATTCCTTGTGTAGCCACCTCATCCTTTGTATAGCCTCATCACTGATTCATTTAACAACATTTTCCTCCTCCTCAAGTGGCTATGTGGTAGCTTAGGCTGATCCTTAGCCTTGGATGCTATATCATTTTCATACTGCTTCTCTGCTGCTCTCTCAGTAACTGTACATCCATGCCTCTCTCTCTTGTATATGTCTAGTGGTTCTCCTCGGTTCTGTGTTCCCTGTGCTCACCTTGGCTCTTTGCTCCCACCTCTCAACTCCCAATCAACTGGTAAAAAACTCTGTGTGTGTGTGTGTGTGTGTGTGTGTGTGTGTGTGTGTGTGTGTGTGTGTGTGTGTGTGTGTGTGTGTGTGTGTGTGTGTGTGAGGCTACTTACAAGTATGAAGCTCTACCATTACATAATATGTACTCTGGATTGACCGGTATACATTGGAAACTACAATTGAACACTATCTATCAGATTGGCGACCCCCCAAAAAAAATATATGTACTGTATTATTATCTGAATGGGTCCAAGCACACAAACTAACCCAAATTGACAATAAGTATGTTGATGTACATGTTAACAAACTCTGTAACTGGCTGACCAATGTTGTAACTTGCTTAGTTAAACGAATATTAAGGTTTAGTTACCGAGCCTACTGTCCGCCTCGGAGCCTGTCCACCGCCGCTTACAGGGTGGGGGTATTGACTGCAGAATTTGTGAACTCATTTCCTGCTTTTTCTATTGGTTCACGATCATTTTAATAAATGTTTTTCTACAAATAATAACATTATGACTGAATGCCTAAACAAAGTAGGTATGTATTATAGACTGTTGGAAAGTGACCTTGTACCTCGAAGTTGCTTTACAGCAAAGATAAGACCCGGCTGCAGAAGTGTATTTAGATGTATTAGATAAGCTTCCCCCTTGTAATTTTCGTTAGCATAGTGTAATCGCCCATTTTCTTTGGTTAATACCAGCTGATGGGATTCGTTTTCTTTCATGATGGTTCAGAGGGTAACGCGTCCCGTTCCTACACCTCACTAACCCCTGTCAACCCGGGCCTAGGTAAGGGATGCTCCACTCACATTCTTACTGTCCGTCTTGGTGTTGTAACTCTGGCTGTAGGACATGATATGTAGATGTTGTAACTCAATGTTAAAAGGTGAATGGCTATTTTGGGTGTTGTGGTAGTCAGGATACGTGTTATGTCTAGGTCTTGCCACGGGTGTGAATAACTGTCGTGACTTGGCCACCGAGGAACGTGACTTGTTTGATGTACACACTTGTTATGGCTGCTCGTAAGTGTTTCAGTTCATGTTATGGTTGTTTTGACGATCAGGTGACAGCCATTATGAATCGTCACAGTTCTAAGACATTATGACGACTTCTCACAGATGGGTGACAGGTAATTGTTCTTCGCGGCAAGAAGAACGTTTAGAGTACGTATGACTGTTGCCACAGCACGAAGCAGTTACTGTAGCCAAACTGTTTTTGTTCGTTTATATATCTTAAGATTTGTAATGTTATTTTGAGCTTAGCTTGTCTATCATCTTGGCAGGAGCCAAGACGACGAGAGAGTTAAAAGCTGGCGTACCACGGCTCGTCTGCTTCGCCTTTTCTTTGTTTCTTTAATATCATTTTTTTATCATTTTCGCTTGTTTACATCTGTTGCTTGTGAGAGCTTGCCCGACATGCATTATTTTTTTTTTGCTACTGATAGTGATAAGGAAACAAGACGATGCTGGCTTAATTATTATTATTATTGTGGCCATGTTGATGAGTTTACCGCAGGTATGAGTAGTATGCCTCAATTACAGATGATGTAGAATGATTGTACTGTTTGAGTACTAAGAATCCTCAAGGACATTGAGGACCAGAGTCCTCACTGAACTCTGAGGAGGATTTCAGAGGACCGGAGTCCTCACTGGTACTCGTTATGTTCGATGACTAACGCTCAAGTGCCTCGCAAGCAGTAACTGTGTATTTAAAATATATTAACATGAGCGACTATGTAAGGCGCTGGAACTTGATGTGACGATATATGTGTATACTCGACTAATGACAGTCAACAGCGGTACTGTAAGTATGGTGTGCAGTGTGGTGCTCTCCGTGTTACTTGTCTACATGTTATTGCCGGGTCGAGAGCTAACTCCCGAGCCCCGCCTCACCTGTTGTTGGTTGTCTAATGTGGGTGACTGCCAGCCTTTCTGTTTCTTGTCATGTCCGCTTTGGATAGAACTTGTTAAGGTAGATTCTACCAGGTTATCTCTTCATCTAATCCATTCCATTTGATCACCACCTTTACGCAATTTTTCTTTTTCTAACATCCCCTGTGACTCATACTTAACATTTCCTCTTTATCAACCTTTTCAATTTCCCTGGGAATCTTACATGTCACTATCATGTCTCCTCGATTACATATCTCTCTTTAAGTGTTGTGAATTTCAATTATCTTTGCCTTTTTCATAATTTAATTCTGGCAGTTATGGCACGAGGCTCCTTGCACACATCTGAAACTTTTATAAGTTCTTAAGGCGTTGGGGAGGAGGGGGGGGGGGGAAGGTTTCCACGCTAGTTGCATGTTCTAGAATGGGTATCACGTACGTTGTGACGTGTACTCTGAAGGCTTTCTCTCCAAGTTTCTAAATGTTATCGTCATGTTTGCCAGTGTCAGATATGCTGGTGTTGTTTATATAAGCCGCCGCTCCTGGCCGTGGGGTTACTGGTCTCTTGCTCTTCAGTCGATCTCTGTGTTCCCTTCCTGTTTATATACAGTTTATATATGAGACAGTAGTTTATACGGGAGTTTTATATTCCTGTTTATATGGGAGACAGTAGCTCTGTCAACCATGTATTGAGCAGCCACAATATGGAAGGATTTCAGCAGTAACTAACTGCTGCTAACTGGAACTGTAGGCCTTCCATGGGGTGTCACTTTGGTATATAGGTGTTAGGTGATCCACATCCTGGCCATGTAAATTTGTAACGGCCATATCATGGATAGTAACCTTTCATTCAGCTGGACAATCACAGCCTCGAACCGCCGACCACATGGACAGTAGCCAAAGTTCCAGTTGGGCAGCAGATAGGTGCCTCTAGAGTTCTTCCTTTTAAGTCTTATTAATGGCTCAGTTGACACAGTGGCTGGCTACTGTCTCTGTGGTCGGGGGTTCGAGGCTCCGATTGTCCACGACGGTGATAATATATATATATATATATATATATATATATATATATATATATATATATATATATATATATATATATATATATATATATATATATATATATATATATAGCCTTCTTCGTTTACTTAATTCTTATGTGGTATTGTCGGCTAACCCAGTAATTAGTTCCATTAGCTGATATATACAGTATGTATAATATATTAACAAGTACAAATAAAATAACAAATAATTGAACTAATGTAAATACAACAATGATAATTCAAACAATAATTAGGGGTTTATAAGGTGCCACATAGAGGGTGTGATCTGAGGTGTGGGCGGAACACACTATATCCCACCTCATAAACTGACCTTCTCCGCCACTCTTTTTTTTTTTCCATTACACGACTTGATAATGGTCCAAGGCGGACCGAAACGTCAATTCATTTATTTTCAGATATGTAGGTTGGGCGTCTAGCAAGATTTGCCAAAGAACTTCACTAATATTTCAGGAACGCTGAACCAATTCACCATTTCAAAATGCAACAGCAACATAACAATTATTGACAGCAGCAATACGTGTTCTCAAATTTCACATGCCATGTGGATAATGGCGACCTGATCCCATCACAAAGTCAGCAGTTAAGGCAATTATAAAAAAGGTTGCATTACTGGGAGAGCGGATCACATAACCCGACCCGCCTTGCCCCCACACGGCAACCTTGTCACTGTAAATGTCTGGTTGTTCATGTATCCCTTCTGGTAGATGTGAATCCCAGTGTAGATCTAAAAATATAATGTCACTTATGAAGTGTGTGTAGTATAGGTACTATGTAGCCAGAGGGGACCTAGGAATGTCCCTCTCTGGCTACCTCCCCTCTCCTTCATCGCCTTCCCTCTCCTTCACCACCTTCCCTCTCCTTCATCAACTTCCCCTCTCCTTCATCGCCTTCCCTCTCTCCTTCATCACCTTCCCTCTCCTTCATCAACTTCCCCTCTCCTTCATAACCTTCCCTCTCTCCTTCATCACCTTCCCCTCTCCTTCATCACTTTCCCTCTCCTTCATCGCCTTCCCTCTCCTTCATCACCTTCCCCTCTCCTTCATCACCTTCCCCTCTCCTTCATCACCTTCATTCTTCTTTTCAGGTTTAATGGTGTGCTTCTTGAGAAATGGGCACCATACAACCACTGCACATTCCATTGTTGATTTCACAAAGTTATGAACAGTTTCTTTAATATTTCGTCATCCATGTATTAAAAAGCCATTCTGAAGTTGGAAAGCATAGTATATGCTCCTCGCACATTCTCCTTTATGTAGACCTCTGGCGATAGTCTGCTATCCAGAACCACCCCTAGTTCTTTAACTCTTGTTGGAGGTCTTTAATGTGTTTCTCCTATTCCACATTCCATAACTTGGCATTTATTCGCACTGAATTCCATTTGCTAAGAGTTGCTGAATACAATTATTTTATCTAGGTCATCTTGAAGGACATGACAATTGTCCAGTCTTATGTTTTCCCAGTAGCTTACCATCATCAGCAAACATGTTCATATACAGTAGTTGGTATTGTATACTGCAAATACAAATATTCTTAGCAGAATTAAATCACTAACATAATGTACCTTAGACCCAGCTGCTCAGAAAATAATAACATACTCTATGTTTTTATATACAAGAAGGTACAATGATTTTGTGGGATTTCATAATATTGGTATTTTTATGGTTTTGCAAAGTCACTACAGTAACATGCATACCATTTTGGGCAGGTCCTTAATCTAACAGAACAGGCAAGATGGAAAGGTACATTGTAGCAAAATTTGATGTCAACATACAACTACAATATACAGTATATTGACAGAGGTGATTACACTGGTGAAGATGTACAGTATGTCTTAGGTACTAATATTGGGGGAGTGGGTAGCACAAGATACAGTGTGAGTTTGAAGCACAAGGTAGAAAACTATGAAGATGAATTTACTGCAGGTACTTTTTGGTTTTACTGTTGAATAAGGCATAGGTTGGACAATTTGTTAATTCATTAGAGAGTGAATTCCATAGACTGGGTTCTTTTATGTGCATGAAGTGTTTTGCACAGATTTAGTTTGACTGGGGATATCAAAGAGATATTTATTTCTGATATTTGTTTCATGGGTTCTATTACACCTATCACGGAAACGTTTCAGATCAAGATTTAGGAACAAGGTTTTGTACATGTGAATAGCACAAGAGAATGTGTGGAGTAAGGGTATGTTTAGCATGTTTAGGGACTTAAACAGAAGGGCTGTGTGTTGTCTGAAGACAGAGTTTGTTATAGGTTTGATAGCAGATTTGTGCTGAGTGACGATGGGCTTGAGGTAATTTGCAGTGGATGAACGTCATGCACAGATACCGTATGTAAGATAGGGATAGATTAGAGAGTAGTATAATGAGAGGAAAGGAGAGTGGGAACATAATATTTGATTTTAGAGAGTATACTGACTAGTTTTGGGACTTTTTTGGCTATGTGTTGTATGTGGGTGCAGAAGTTTAGTCTCTTGTCTAAGTATAAGCCAAGGAACTTTCCCTCATTTTTATTGCTACTGTTAACATTGTCTGTCTAAAATTAAATTGTACTTCATACTGTATAATAATATGGAAATTTGATAATATATTGATTTTTATTAAATACAGTAAAAAAGTATGAATCAGCATGTGGAGACAGTCAGATATTAGATGAGCATGCCCTCACATTCAGTTTTTTTTTTAATTCTTAACAAATTTAAGAATGAGCCAGGATGCTTTGTGGGTGAGACGAAGTTGATTTTATATTGTTTGATTAATGAGTCTACATAATGCCAGCTTCTGGTATTTAATTGTTTAAAATTTTGCAAATTACAGAAAAGAGGAACTATCAGGAGAATGTACCAAGCCACTACAACTATATAGCACTGGGAAGGAGTCAGGATAAGGATTTGGGATGGGACGGGGGGAAAGGAATAGTGCCCATCCACTTGGACGGTCGGGATTGAACTCCGACCTGCATGAAGCGAGACCGTTGCTCTACCGTCCAGCCCAAGTGGTTGGGCGAAAGTGAAATTTACTATAACTTATTGATGAGCATTTACTACTTAATCCCAAATTTCTGGTTCATATGGAGAACCCTATAACAATAACGCTCTAGCATACTAATTTTCTCGTAAGCTTCCTCCGTCTTCCCATTACACCTGTGATGGACAGAACAACAACATGCTCCTTAGCTTCATTCATTCCCAGTCTCTTCCCACCGGCTCTGTTGAATACTTTCTTTGGCATCCACGTCAATCTATTTACATTCACTATGTTACAGCCAACCTTATGTACAATGTAGCAAGCTTACTCAGCCTGCAAAATTTACATTTTTAACCATAGTTTCATAATGCAGTTGACATTTTTAGTAAAATATTTCACATGCAAGTATTACTTTTATGAATATAAAGACATTACACTAGTATCTTTCACATCATGAGTTCACTTACTTTTATCTGTGTAATAGTTCGTTATGAAGTTTGTTACAGAAATGAGTGTTTATGTTGTATTGCTTCATGAGGTATTGGCCTTGGGTGTTGTAAACATACTGGCCCTGGATGTTGTAGGCATATTGAACCTGGATGTTGTAGGCATATAGATCCTCTGAAGGAGCACTATTTATACTCTCAAATGGTCCTTGAGTAGCTTTTTACATAATACTGGAATACAAATAATAATTAAAATTGGTGGCAACGTGGAAAGGAGAGGACATACTGATAATTAAATGTACAGTTCAAAGTGCTATACTTCTCTCAGGCCAGACTTGGTACCAATTAAATTTTTCTCACCAGCTCTTGGCAGCGTTTACTAAAAAAAAAAAATGTCATACTGCAACTGTCCTGTAGTGTACTTCCAATCAATGTTGTCAAATGAAACTTAAATATCACATAACTTCATAATCCTACTGGCTATGTACATGGACATAATTTAGTGCATCCAAAGTGTAAAACATAGCCAGTAGTTTACATTTTCACAATCATGGCACCGGCAGCGCCGTCACCTCCAGAACTCCACAACGGACAAAACCGATTCTCACATTTCATTTGTTTCATCAAAATGGCTTGTTTCTTAATAAATAGACTAGCCACGTTGTAACAGTTGTAGGCATATTGGCCCTTGGTGTTGTAGGCATATTGAAAAGATGAGTGTTGTAGATATATTGGGCATGGGTACTGTAGGCATATTGACCATGGGTGTTTTTTTTTTTTTTTTTAATTTTGCCCCGAGGGGCGAGTTTATTGGGCAGCGCCGCTCATCCTGTGAGTGGACATACCGCCATAGCAGCATGTACAACACTCCCCAATAGGAAGAAAACCCGCTGGATTGTTCATCCTCTCACTTGTACCCAGACTTGACTTGCTTAACTGTCTCAAGTGAACAGCTCCTCAAACAAGAAGATTAACATCTGTCAACTCTTAAATGCTTACTTTATCTTGTGGGTGCAAAATGGGGGAATCTTTTAAGAACAGTATCAATATTTCAAAATGGGAGAATCTTTTAAGAACAGTATCAATATTTCAAAATGGGAGAATCTTTTAAGAACAGTATCAATATTTTAAAAACAGTGTTTTCCTAACTCAAACAATGTGGGGTTTATTATTCTACACATGTTTCTAATGTCTCTCATGTGTTGGAAATTCCAATGTTGATCTATGTTGAGCATGGGCATTGTAGGCATATTGGCCATGAGTGTTGTAGGTATATTGGCTATGGGGGTTGTGGGTATATTGGAGATCCCTACTATGATGGGATTAATTTTGACAGTTGCCTGAAGGTGTCTTCATCCTGCTCGTAATAGACATGTCTTTTTTTCTGAAATACAGCAACTGAAATTATTTGCAGTGTAATAATTCCAACACTTTATTAGATGTACAGAATTATTCCAGATTTTATTGCATTTATCTCTCTGGAAACATAACCCCAGGGATGCTCTTAAGGGGTGTTGGCTTTTGTGTACTGCTGTGAATTTTAAGCAGTTATAGTCTTCGCTCTTTTCTTACGTACTGAAATATATTTGCTTCCATAGAGAGATTCAGAATAACTACATATTATCTAAATATAACACTACAACTTTTGTAAAAATATTATCTTTTCTGATATTATCATCTTATCAGAATGTTGTGTTTAGGCTTCTCTTATTTGTTGTCTTCTTTGAAGCACATTCTTATCTAAAGCAGTGAAATAGTCATGTTTGAATTCTAAGTATTGATGTAATAATGTAATAATGATTGTTGGTAAAATTATCTTATTAATAGAATAATGTATTGCATTACAGAGCAACAAATACTATTTGTATTAACCCCCAAAACATTTTCATGAAATTAGCTCGTACTGAATTAAGGTTCTGCTGTATTGCCATACTTACTATTTATGGCTTAAGGTCCTGTATTTTTCAGTAGTTCCTATGTTGTGATTGGTTTTTGCCAAGTAGATGACAATGTTAGCTAGTGTTTGCTGACACTCCTGTCATTACTCGTACTGCTTCTAATGCTAATTATTAGGGCTGTATAGTATACAATTATTTTTAAGCAACAACTTTATTTATTCAGAATTTTTTAAATTTCAATGCCACAAAGAATTTATTTCAGACTTTGAAGTTATGCTGCTTACATGTGTGCTTTTGATGTTTATTTGTTTAACTAATTACACAGGAACTAATATACTGTACCATATAACTTGGGATAATTATGGAGCTCTATGTATGTTTTATCCTTGCAGTATCCGAAGGCGATGGGTCTCTGGATTCGAGCGGCGGTGTTGGCGTCCATGGTGCCTATGTCCAGTACGTAGACGCCTCGCCAGACCCTCTCTATTCTTCCACTAATGGACAGATGTAACTAACCACGCCCCAAGTATTATGCTTGTAACCCTGTCGTACCCCTGTCGTAACTATGGAGAACTCGGCCACTATTTATTTTTTCTATTACATTAAACTTTTTGTTGTTAAACAGGATAACTGCCATCATAGCCCCAAGTCTAGCCAGAATTGCTCACCATACTGTTGTAATTCTTAATTTATCATTATTCATATTATGTTCTCCAAGTTTGATTTTAATTAAAGACAATAATGTGGATTCCTAAAAACGTAATGGAAACTCAAATGCCGATGAATCTTCCCTTTTACAGTCAGTGATATATAGAAGTTACACACTAATGCATCCATTGCCAGAATATATTTATTAGTTGCACTTTGCATTTCTAATAGGCCTAGTACTACTGTACTTTTATAATTTGACATATTTTGGAAATACTGTACAGTACTGTACTGTACAAGAAATTTCTAGCCTCTCATATTGCAAAAAGCTATTCATAGTCTTGACAGTTTTACAGATCAGTATAGCATGCAGGCTGTACTGTATTCTCAAATAGTATTTTGAAGATCTTATCATAGTTTAAAATAAATCTTGAAACTAAACATATACTGTACACAAGAAATACAAATTTTTTGGGGGAAAATAAAGCACAGAAGCACAAAATATTACAGAAAATTCTAGCTTAAACATATAATATATATATTATGTAAGAGTAGTGCTCTGATTCAACCTAGCACTGAAGTATGCTCATGGCTGCATTATAAACTACTATTATCCTGAACATATTGTAGCATATTCATAATTATTTTAAGAACGCGAGGAAAAATACAAGTTCCAAATAATATTTACATTATTTGAATAGGCCTAGCTCAGGGATTCGTGATTTGATTGCACCACATAGAAGACTGGAGATTTGTGACCGTTTTGAAAATACTTAGATTAAAAGCTATTGAGGACATGTTTGGAAGACCAAGAATATGACCATGTTGGAAAACCGAGATGGAGGCTTTGTTGAAAAGACTGGAATTGTGGCTAAGCTGGGAAGAAAGAGAAATTAAGACCGTGCAAAATTGGGATTAAGGTATATTAGGACATTTTAAGTTTGCCTGAATTTTACCTAAAATATATGTGAGAGCCATCACTAGTGGCCTCAATGAGGACTTGAAACTGGCCGTGTGTCAAAGCTCCTTCATTATTTCTGAAGATTTTTTCCAGTTAAATATTGGAGCAAAATTAAAGCTGTGTTTACAAAATTAGAATTTAGGCCAAGCTATGGAAGATGGAAAGCAAGGGCATTATAAGGAGATTAGAGCTAGGGCCTTATTAGGAATATTAGAACTAATGCACAATGAAATCATATTAAAGTGATATATATCAATAAGAAATCAATTAGAATTAATGACAAGTTGGAAAACTGTGAAATAAGGTTATGTTGGAAAGTAAGGAGATTATGGTCATGTTGAGAAGGCTGAAAATAAGGTCATATTGGGAAGATTATAACTTGCGTTGATTCTTATGTTGAGAAAACTGGAATTATGCCTATATTTATATAACAGAAATGAAGGCCTGATGTATTTATTGCCTTCAGGGACTGTCAGGGACTGGAAATGGTTTCCCATGAAAGTCATGTTTGGATGATGGGAATTAAGGCCTCATTCAACAGACTAGAATTAATATGCTGATGGCAAGTGTTCGTTATGCCACATTGGATTCATCTCCATGTTGTGTTTGTTGTTGTTTGCATTTTTATGTTGTATGGTTTGCAGCATTATTTTATGTTTAACATTATGGTAATCATTAATAAATACAGTTAAAATCATTCTAATTGCCTATGTTGCAAGTTGATTCTTTCATTGGCTATTTTATTTATGTCTATATTTTCTTAAAACATCCCCATAAACAGTTGATCTAATTCCTAACTTGAGCAGTAAGTGTAAAGATTATGAGGGCTGTGAAGTACTTATATCTGTCAATTATGTGTGATGCATGATTTCCTCCGTGCTAGAGTAACACATCTGAGTGAGCTTAGTAACTAACAATGTATATATGTAGCATTAGGCCATTGACAGTACTGCTAAAATTAGTGGTTATGCAAGTTGAGGAAATATCTGCATAGTAATTTTTTTTTAATTAAGTTATTGGGAGAAGGAGTAACAAGGAAATACGGTACTGTATACTAATTTACACACTGTACCTACATTTTATTTTTATTTTACTAATGAATTTTAACATGTTTGCTAAAGTAAAACTTTTTTCTTGCATATCTTTAGCTTTAGATTAGTAAATACAAAATGTTGAAAGATGGTATGTCAAATAAATCAATCAAGTTATACAATATGCACAGTCCTGAACATGAGTACTGTACTATAGTTACAACATTCCTTCTTGCTAAGATTTAAGGGGGCTACTACCAATTGCCACAAATTTTCAAATTTTTATACCAGGCTGGAAATAATATCACACTTACTTTTGTCCACATGTATGTTATTTTTCTACAAGTCTAAAGACTAGCCACCAGCACTACTATTTCCACCACCCTGAGCACCTGCTGTAGGTCCCACTGCTACCCCAGCCTGCACCAGCCTGTCTACTAGCACCTTACCCCTCACAGCTCGCTACTACACCCACCTCTACCAGTGCCACCATCAGTACACAACCATCGATACATTTACGGTTTTATTACAGCCATCAGTTCCCCTCTCGGTCTCCTCACTCTCATCAGTAATAGTGACAACAATAACAACCAACTACAGGATGTATTGTAAACTTGCCACCACTGTCACCACCACCGTCTTACCTCAGTACACATTAAAGAGTTCAGATATCTGTTCTTCTCATGTTCTTCCATGTACCTTCACGGTTACCAATGCTGTCATTGGTGCATCTTTTACCACCATAACCAACCTTTTTACATTTTTATACACGAGTGCTGACAAGGAACATGTATTGGTATGAGTGTCTATAGATGAACAGAATTCCTATATAGCCTATTGAATATATTCTGTACTATTAATATTAATATACAGTATATAGTACTTTGCACATTTGTTTCATATATATATTTATGTATGAGCTATATGATGTGTATCTAGTTTATTGCTGTTCATTGTTTTATATAGTTGTAACCTTCTACTTCATGACACTAGTAATTATATTGAGAATTAAATTGACTTATACAGTTATGTAATTCAGATTTAATCAAATCTAATTTTACACAGTTTTATTTTGCAGTCACAAAATTTGTATTCAACATTGTAAATTCAGTGACCCAAGTTCAATTGCTGTGCAGGGTGAGACATTTGGGCACGTTTCTTTGCATGTGTGTGTGCGTACGTGTGTGTGTGGGCTTTGTTCACCTAGGTGTAAATAGGTGCCCAGGAGTTTGCCAATTGTTGTGGATCGCATCCTGGGAAGGTCAGTCATTGGCCTAAGGAAAGCTCAATAACATACCTCCTTTCCCTGACACTGTATATCCAAATTTACACTCAAGATCTTAAGCAACTCTTAAAATGTGTAATAATTAATTAATAAATGTAAACTGAAAAGACATTATGCTTTGGATATATATTTGAATTTAACACAAGTACATTTTCAACAGTGAGATTATTTTTATTTAATTTTATATTGCAATGCCCTCATGCAGTGTAACCTGGAAAATCCAGACATCCAAATAGCATAAACCTTAAAAATTCAAAAGGATTTTGCTATTAAAACAATTCTTCAAACACAGAAGAGAAAGATTGATTTTCATGTATTTTGATTTATCACACTTTCAGTATATGGGGTCAAATCCAGAATGACTACAGCTCTAATACTCACTGCCTAGATATGGTTTTATTTGTTTAAATTATACTATGCTAATTAATGTAAAATACTTATTTTCTGAGACTAGCCCAATATTACCAAGAAAGTGTGAGCCTGTTGTGGCATGTACATTTGCCTCTGTGCTTGTTACCAAGTAATTACCAAAGTATAATTAATTAGTAATTAGCGCAGAGGCAAATGTGGTCCACATCCCGTTACTCAGAATTTTCAGCCATTTTTATAGATCATTTTGCCAGAGACAGGCAACCTGTGCTTATATATATGTTATGCTTATATCGAGGTCCCCCCAAGGTCATACTACTGACCCTTCCCAGGATGCAACCACACAACAAGTTGATTAATGCCCAGGTACCTATTTACTTCTAAGTATACAGAAGCATTAGATGATATTAAATGTGGCCAACCATTTCTGTCCCACCTGGGTTTCAAACCCAGTATTCCAGATTGTGAGTCGAGAACACCAAGATCGCATTACCGAAACTCTTATTTGGACAGTGCTTCATTTGTGACTAGGAAAGTTATCTACCAGCAAGAGCAATGTGGCTAGACCAGATAAAAGGAAGAAAAAGAATCTTAGGATAGAAGAATTAGTGTTAAATTCATGTAGAAAAGTGACCATGGCTGGCAAGTGACAAGCCATCCTGAGGAGTATGTGTTTGCACTAGCACTGTTCTGAAAAAGAAAAGGAAGTAGAAAAGACTCTTAAGAGTTCATTGCCAGGAATGAGTTGGGGCAACCAGAGCATTAGTGTAGATAAGGATTAGCTGCAGTAACTTACCTAAAGTTCAGTTAACCAATAAAATTCTGTATATACGGTACTGGCAAAAATAGGAAATTGAGGGACAGAGCAACATTCTATGAAGTATACATTAGATAGGAAATGCATAAGGATAATAGGAAGAGGAAGAAAGAAATTAAAATCCGGAAAGAAAAACAGGTAAATGCATTTTTTGGATTTGCCAATATACATGGTATCAAACCATGCAAAACAACATCCACTTTATAACTTGTCTCCTAAATGAGACAAATGTAATATTTGCAGCTGTATCTAAATCTCATACAATGGATTATTATGAGAATGAGATATGGATACCAGAATTCAATCTTTTCAGATGTGATAGGAAACAGACTACAGGGTGAGGTCAGCCTGTACATCAAAAAGACACTCATCTTCACAGACCTGGTAAATACCACA